TTAAGAATATCGATAGAACTCATTTTATATTATTAACACACCAAACTAATAATAATAATTATTTATTAACATCTACCTTTTTTGTCGTTAATACACGACACGAACGATGAATCGATAAAAATCTTAATCTTATCTAGGGATTGAGTTATTAATTCTTTTTTTTTTGTTGTTTTTTTTACGGGATTATACTCGTCGATCAAGAAATTTTGTGATCGACATAATTTATACTTTGACAATTAAATAAAATATGTAATTTCTCATAATACAACGGACGCTTGGCCATAAAACAAATTTATGATCATATTGTATGTTGTGAGTTATTTAAAAATAAACAACAGAGGGTAAACACAGAGACGATATCCAAAATATGACATAAAATACAAATTGACTGTAAGTTAAAATTATAGACATTCAACTTTCAAGTACCTTTGCGCTGGACAGACTATACTGATCTGGCCATCGAAACTACGTAGTTTGGATTTTAACGTGTAAGACAGTGATCTAGGCTGCTTAATGGAAATGTATTAAAAGGAGATAAAAGTTGGGTTGATACATTTCTTCTATGCGGTATTGCCGGATTTTGGGTGAAAATTTCAAACCGCACAAGTAGGCGTTTACGAAAAATGTTTCATCAAGGGTTGAAACTTTTTACTACAGCTGTAGTAGATTATATTTAGCTTAGATATATTATCTTCATTTCAGTAGTATACATGAAATGGTTTATTTTTTCTACACACATTTTCCTACACACGTAAAAACTGGCAACACTGTATGCTGCTTTTTACTTTGTCTCTCTGTCTGCCTACCCTGTAATTTATACCCTGATCTCTGTCGCATGCATTAAAATAGAGACCACGCTGATGAACTCACCAGGACTTTTTGTGCCGATTTTAAGGTACGTCGGTACCTTAAAGTACCCCTATACCTATATTAATATAGGTGAAATGTAGGTGATTATACAATAATTATCATTTTTATGAAAATTATGGATTTTTAAAAATATAGAAATTAAAGGCAGTATAACAACCTACTGTCATTAACCCCAAATTTTCAGTCTAATCATTCTATAATTATTTATGATCGGATATTATTAGTGGAAGTTGATATTAATTTACCTTCGTTAAATTTGTTTCTCGTCTTTCTCATAGAGCATCCGTGTACAACAATTTGTATTATCAAAAGGGAAAAAAATGCCATACTTGCTATTAAGGGTATGATTCCAGGATAGCGATTATGGTCCATGGTAACCACTTTAAACTTACTTTTTATTATATTATAAATGTTTATGACAATATAATGTTGGCATTTTGATGTAGCTCAGCGTATCAAATTCATTATCTTTGATATTAAATAAGACAATTTATAATTTATTGATACTTATGATACTTACTATGAACATCTTTTATAACTTATATTATTATGACTGTTTAAAAGCGAATTAAAGTAGAAGTAAAATAAAGTATTTTAAGTTAACGTTTCTTTATTGCTAGCAGTGCTAATCTGCATGGGGCCTAGTTTGTTTATTATACACTTAGGTGCAAAAAAACCGAACGGATAATTTTTACGTCAAGTTTCAAGTGTTTTTTTTTACCTTTTAGCCCTATTGCAAACTAACTAAAAGCGCTGTTATTTTGAAGGAATCCGCCTATTCTTGCAAAATAGCAGACAACCGCAGCAAGTTTATATTTTGGTTAGTATGCAAACTAATTACAAAATCTGTTTAGGATGGGGATTTTACTCACTTTACTAAAATAGCTGCTAGTTTACACACCAGATAGCTTACAAAATTTATTTTAATTGTTTTTGTTTGTTAATATACAGTGTTAGGATGGATATGAAAATATGATAAAATAATAAATTTAATTTTCGTTTAAAAAATTTATTTATGACAGGTACGGACAAAAAGTTATTACTCTTCAAAACAGTTAAAACACATGTAGGTGGCGCCCCCTACAAATAGGAGTCATATTGACATCAAAATCAGATTTCTCATGTCAAAAAACTCCCAGACACCAATTTTCATCCAAATATTGACGTTACTTCAGAAATTATTTGTAAAAAATCGAAATAAAAATAAAACTTCTACACCCTGTATCTCCGAAACTAAGCATTTTGGCTAAGCTACATACATTTATATGAACTTTTTTACTTATTTTTATCAGTAAAATATGCTGCCGAAGTTTCCGGAATACCCTGTATATAGCGGAAAGCCGTATAGTAGTGATAAGTGAAATATCGGTAACTGTGACTTTGTCACTGATATTCTATAATCACAGTCACGGCCTGTGACTGATTTGAAAATAAACGGTGACTTGCTAAAGCGTGACGATTACAGTTAATTGTGATTTCTCTGGTAACGAGAAAATACTTCACAGAGCGGGACGTCGCGTGTCGCAAACGCAGCTGCCGATGGCACCGGTCGTGACTGTGATTATAGAATACTGTTTATTTTTTTTAGAAACTTCATTTTTTATATATTTCGTTTATTTTAATACAAAGGAAAATATTTGTTCTTTAATGTATTACTTATCTCGTGTTGTTAAGTTTCGTTCGTTATGGTTACGAGCATATTGCATATTTTATTCTTTTTCCGTTGGTTTCTTTAAATAAAAAAATTGTTTTATTTTTATTTTTTAATATACCTTTTACCTACTGTTTAGTGTTTTCTATTTCAGCAGCCTTGGATAAAGGACAAATAAAAATTAGTATAACAACAACAACAGAATCGTATCATTCGTATCGTATCTTATATTTTAGCCGTGATTGTGCTTTCGGATTCATAATCATAAAGTCGCAGTCACAGTTAAGAGTCACAGATAATACAAAGTCGCTGTCACAGGTAAGCCTGTGAACAGAAAATCACGGTTTGGCTCATCACTACCGTATAGTACATAACTACTGAAAAGGTAGGTTCAAACACAGTCAAAAAAATAAAATAAGATAAAATGAGAATAGTGGAAAATAATATAAGAGATAAGTTGGTTATATCGAACATGGTAGTTGCGTTTATACAGATGAAATGAAATAAGTGGGAGGTATAATAATATGAGTTTTTAACCTATAAATACTTTCAGGATTTGGATTTTTTTATTGCATAATTTCAATATGAATAGACAAGTACATTGAAAATACTAAAATTATTATAAACAACTACTAAACTGAAAACTAAATTTTTATCTAGTTTTAACGTATTGCTCATTATCAGTATATTTATTATTTTATTTGGCTGTTTGAATGCTCCCATATTAGATTTTCTTTTTTTCTTTCTTTTTTTTTATTTTGCTACTTGAACCCCCCTTAAGTTGACAAAATCACATAAATACTAATATAAAAATAATATAAATAAATTAATACTTAAACTGCCGTTAAACGGTAGCTTACTAAAATGCCGTTAATAGGTATGACGTCGTTGATGTGACGCACTTGACGGCTTTATGAAATATAGGAATTTTATAAGGACTAACCAACGCTATCCACCTCACCAAATAACCAACTTAACCAACGCAACGAACCTCGACACTGACAAAAAAATATAAATAACAAATAAAAATTTGTAAAAACCAACCAACCCCACCAAATAACCAACTAACCAATGAATTAACACCCTCCAAATAACAACGCTAACCAACCCGCCAAATAACTAAACTAATCCAACTAAAAAGAGTGAAACCAATGCAATAAGATCACGCTATAAGCAAAAAAAAATATAAAAAAGTCTTGGTCGGGTTGAGATTTGAACCACGGACCATTCGCTCACAAAGCATTAGCCTCAGCCACGGAGTCACAGCAGCTCTTGCAAAATGCTTATAGCCAGGCATTACTTTCCGCCGACATGAACGACGTCAATATATCTATTAACGGCATTTTAGTAGGCTACCGTTTAACGGCTGTTTAAGTACAGCTGGTTCCAATAAAATTGAATACGATTTAAAACATATTTTTATTATTTCGGGCAGTATATTCTATGATACCAGTCCCCCATTTCTCTATTTTCACTTTGTCAAAAGTAAAGTTGTTTTATACAATGTCACAATAACTTTAACATGTCAAAATACTTGACACATAAATATATACTACCCAAATATTCGAAAAAAATGTGTAAAGAGTCGTATTCATTTTTTTGGAACCAGCTGTATATCGTAAATTAATAGCCATATTCTCACTCTTAAATTGCAAGGATTTTTTCTTAGTTCGTAAACTAGCCAAGAATCTTGCTATTTTGGGTGACTAAAACTAATGGAGTTATTATATTAGCCAAAATTATAAATGATTAATATACAAACTAACTAAAACAACTGGTTAATATGAAAACAAAAATATAAAATTATGACATTATCCAATACGAATATGTAGTTTGCAAACTAACCAGCTGGTTTTAAACTAGCCGTTGGCTGCCAGCTATTTTGCAAGAATGGGCGGATTCCTTCAAAATAACAGCGCTTTTAGTTAGCAAAATAGCTGGCTAGTTTTAAAACTAGCCAAGTATCTTAACTTAGCCGTAACATATATAAATCTATGAACTTTTATTCATAAACTCAGTTTTTTATAAACTTTAGTATATTCATTTTACTCTTAAAAATTAAGTAAGGCATGTGTTGACGTGAGTCCAAAAAACTCAATATTCAGGAGACATGGTTCTGATCGAAAAATAATGAATTGCTCATTAAATTATTGTACAGGGTGTTTTAAAGATAAGGTAAAGAAGAACTCTTCGATTAACCCTGTATAATAAGTCAAGTATTAAAGTTTATAATAAACTGAGTTTACGAGTTTAGTTAAATTTGATGTATTTGTATACAGTTTACTAAAAAAATCAAGAAAATAGGGCTAAAAATAAAAAAATATAACACTTTAAATGCGACGAAAAATTTTTCTGTCTGTATCTGAGTGTATATGCTTACTCTTTTTATACTTGTTTTTGTGTGCAATATGAATATAAGCATCCAACTATTCTAACTAAAAAGCCGATTCGATTTTTTTTACATTTGGTCTGTTTTCAGCTCCTTTTACTAAAGTGGAATGAACAGTTACAAAACAGATCACAAGAGGAGAAAACATCGACAAGAGGAAAAATTCAAGGAGCCACTTATGGACAGACACAAGTATATCTGAAGCCGTTGCTGAGGAAACTCAAATCATTTACGCTTCCTGAAGACATTTCAGACAGTTTAACTGAAATAGTGGTTCATTTGTTAAACCGCAATTATTTAAAGGTGTGTATTTTATATTTTTAACATCCATAACTTTATCCACTGATGAAGTTTTATGATCTATGAAGTTTGGTAGTTATAATGTATGCTATATAAGATTCCATAAGATTTGTTTTTCTGACAAAGCTCTATTGATCATACTGTACTACTTTATTTTTTTATTATAAAACCATACTGTAGGGAAACCTGCAAATTAAAATGACAGACAAAACTGTAACTATCATGTATACTCTCGTTCGAGAGATTTTAACTCTATAACCATACGTCCTACCATTAGTTACTAAAGAAACTTCCTATAGGAGATGCGAGACCTTGTCGTTGGTGGGGAAACTCCTAGTTAGGTGCTAGAGGGAATCCCCTCTAGCGCTTTAGCTGGGTCTGGGGAGCATCTCACTATCTTGTCCCTGGCTGTGGTGTCGTGGCCAGGGAATTGCACCAAGGCGTATAACGATGCCAGTGATATATAGTAGGGTGTCCGTTATTTACCAAGTTGATCATTTCTCTCACGACGCCCTCTAAATTTTTAGTTTATTGTCTAAAAAAAAATAACAGACTATTGTAAACCCTTAATATTCACAATAAACCTTGCCCCAAAGACGGTTCGTTTCCCATTTAAATTACATGGGAACATGGGTCAACTGAATTGAAAAAAAATGTTAGGAAAATAACAGAAATTTACTGAACTTACTTAAAATTAGTTAATTAAGTACTTCAAAAGAATACAAGCTGAAAAATAATAAGTATTAGAATTAACTACCTGTCATGCATTCAATTGTTTTCCATGATTCAAAATTGTTTATCATGGTATCATGAAAATTGTTTTTTTTTCAAATAATAGATTAAATTTTTCAAAAATAATCATAATTTTGTCAAAAAAGTTGAAAAATTCAGGAATTTACCGAATGGTTAACTTTAACCGTGAATAACTTTTTAAGGAGTAGGTTTATCGAAAAATTCTAAGAGACCTTTTTTATAAAGCGTTCAGTTCTGTACAAGAATGTGTGATTGTCATGGCTGCGAGAGAACAAGATCGAGAGAAAAAAAATATTTGTAAAAAGTGGCAAATTCCCATCTAATTTAAATGGGGAATGAATCGTCTTTGGGGCAAGGTTTATTGTGAATATCAATAGTGGAGTGCTTTAAGCCCTAATGAGATACAAACCTCGGAATTCATTTACTGTGAACGAATTTTTATAAAACTTTTTGCATTGTATTGTTAATAAGATATATTACAAAGTTTACATATTTAAATTCGTTGCTTTCACTTTAGTATTTAAATAAACACACACATATACAAATGCATACATACAAGATGGCTCCGTTTTCCGGAAAAGCTCTGTATCAGGATTCCTATTTGAGATTTTCACTCCAAACCTTTTACAAAATATATGTTTAATAGTAGTTCACATTTCAAAAATATTTTTACAGATATACAGGGTGAGTCAAATATATATCATTTATTTATTCGAGTTTAGTGAATTTGCTATAAAATTCTTGTTTCAAAAATACCTTAATACCATAGAGTATATCAAAATGGTCTGTGAATTATGACCATGTCCATGAGGACGTCAATATAGACGTCCAGGAAACTTCGTATGAGAACTATAAGTAAGTTTATCGCTAAGAATCCGCCGTTTGCCAGCTTTTCAAATTGATAATGAATTGCACTTAAGAACCGTATATTAACTAACGGACTACAAGAAGACGATTAAATGAAGCAAATCTTATGTCAAGAAGGCCTGCTTCGGAACCAGAACTTACTAGATGTGTTGACTAGGCCCAAAAGCAAAGGCATGGTCTTAATGTAAAAATTACGAAAAATGTTAGTGCCTTCTTTAAAACCGAATATTTCTAATAAAAATAAAGCTAATGAGATGAACCAAAAAACAAACCATCGAGAAAGGATGTATCTAGATGATAAAATAATTTTTAAATTTCTTGCTGTTTTAACATATTTCACAGGGTGTTTCAAACTTTCATCAAAAATATCAACATTTTGTTTTCCCTCGTATAATTAACAGATGGGGAGTTTCATTTTTAATTTAGAAAAAGATACTAAGAAGTCAAATAATTTGGCAACACACTGCTTAAAAAATCATCAAAATCGGCCCACTAAGACAAAATATATTAATCTTTAAAATACATACAACATAACTTTGATGTGTAACTTTTTTAGGGGCCACCCTGTAGAACTCATAAGAACATAATTTTAGAAAATACTTTAAATTGACTTATATAAGCTCAGAAAATTTCACTTCAATACAAACTTTTGTTCTCCTTGCAAAAACCGCGTCGTATATGACGCGCCATCCTGTATAATTCGATTTCAATTAAAATTTCAAATGATTAGAATATAAGCAGAATAGGTATAGCTTATGTATTAGATTTATTTATTTCAATAAATTTACTTAGAAAAAGAATTAAAAAAATCAAAATATTAAGAAGGAAATAATTAAGAATTTACTAAAAATACTAAAATAAAAAATTAAAAGCAACGAAAAAGAATGGGTAAACATTTTAGTATTTTATCTATAAAACACAATACAGAAGGTTTCACATTAATACATTCAAAGTAATTGAATTCCGAGGTAAAAGTCTCTGGGCACTCCACTATAAGGATTTTGTGAGAGAAATTATCAACTTTCTAAATAACGGACACCCTAATGTATCGTAGCGGGTGTATAGTAGGAGGTAGATGTCCACTCCTCGGCCAAAAAAGGGGACACAATAGATGTTTAAGGTTGCGGTGATTAACCCCCATTCCACTCATTCTACATTCTACTAATAAAAAGTTATCCCATGATTTTTCATGTTCTACAATAATTATTTTTTGATCTGGGAACGATCGCCCCTTGCACAAGTATTTTTGAAGCTTCTTTTTAAGACTCAATAATTTCACTGTAATTGAAGTCCTGGCACAATGTTTTGCCAGATTTACACAGTTTTTATAAATCCAATTATAAAAAAAATCAAGAAATAATCAAAATAAACACAGAATAATACAGCACGCATATTTAAGACTCAAAAATTCAAATGTCAAGGGGTCTCAAGAGAAAAGTCAAACTAAACTAACACAAAAGATGTTGCTGTGACATAGCTTCCGTTTCTAATGTATGAACGTAAAAATAGTATTTGACTCTCCGGCCTTAGTTTTTTTCGAATTGAATGCTTTATTATGAATAAAATGTTTTAGGCAAGTGACGCGTACCTTCAGATGGCGATAGGAAACGCTCCCTGGCCCATAGGTGTTACTATGGTGGGTATCCACGCCAGAACCGGTCGCGAAAAGATCTTTTCGAAGAACGTGGCCCACGTAATGAACGACGAGACGCAAAGGAAGTACATCCAGGGACTGAAACGATTGATGACCAAATGTCAGGAGTATTACCCGACCGATCCTTCCAGATGCGTCGAATATCAGGCATTTTCGACAGAGGGGAGTTCAGCCCAATAATTGACATTCATAAACGAATATAGGTATGTGAACATTATTTGAAGTAAGACATATTGGTAATATAAAAAGATATATACAACCTTTTGTTCTTACAGCAATTTTTATTTATTTACTTAAAGTTATAATTTTGTATATATCTAAAAATTAAATAAAAAACTTACAATATTAAGATACCTATGAGATTATTTTTTCTGAAGTTTTCCAAGTTCAACAGCTTTCAGTGCGGCGGCTTCGATTGCATCCATCACTGCTCCTCTGTAAAAAAATAATTATAAATACAGGGTGGCGCACCTCATTCGCCTCGGTTGATTATACGAAAACGGAAAGATGTAGAAACAAAATATTTTATGGGTATATGTGGGGAGTCAATGTGCACAATTTAAAATTATTTTGAAATATACAGGGTGTCTCAGAACTAAGATCCATAAAGTAAAGTAAAGTAAAGTAAAGTTTATTTATCAAAAAAAGTACAATGTAAGTAAAAAAAAATAAAACTAAAGTTCCTGAAAAATAAGAAAATAAAAATAAATAAAGCTATTCCTTAGTTATAGATTTTCTAATTTGATAAATAAACTAAGTTGCTCACCAAAGAAATAAATCTTGTCGGTGAGTCAACATAATACAAAAGTTATATTTTTTCTTATGGAACACCCGCTATTTTATTTCATTTTTGGGTTCTTGGGCCCAAAAAAAGACATTTATTATAAGGGTTAAATATGTTTAAAATCATTGGTTTTTGAGATATTTAAAGATATTTAAATATGCATGCTACAAGAGAACTGATTATTAAGACCCTGTACATTACTTTTCAGAATTAGTTCTTGTGCTGAGTTTAAAGGCAAAGAAATAAACTTTACTGAAAAATGTTATTGCTTCCTTAAATTTATACAGGGGTACCAAAAATTAATGATCTATTTTAAGGATTTATTTTACATAAAAACTTTGTTATTTCAAATGTATTTCCCTGTATTTTTTTAAATAAATCGAAGCAGATTCAAATGTTCTTTCAAACTATATTAGGGTTTCCTATACCTATCTAGCTCAGATTTTGAATAAAAAGCGATTTTTCAATAAAATGGCAATCAAGATAGCTGGTGTCGCGATGACAATTTGCTAGTGACAGTTAGTAACTATTTTCAAAATCGACATTAGTTTATAGACGTTATTTAAATATATACTAGTTTACTTTTATTTAATTGACCTACAATACTTTAATAAATAATATTTATTAATATGTATTTATTATTTTATCAAGAAAAATGAAGAAGTATTTCTTTGTTTTATTTTACGATAACTTGTAGATATATGAATTTTTTATAAAAGAGCCAATTACGGCAAATTCAATTTCTTCACTTCCAACGACAGGTTTCTGCCTAATAGGTTTTTTATAAACTACACTACCAATTCTACGAAATAGGAAATAGGACAAATAGTTTTTCAAAGGAACGCTTATCAGGAAGATTCCTATTTGGATATCTTTGAGCATTAGCTCTTGCTCTTGAGGCCGAGAAATATTTTTTCTCACAAAATAAAATCACTAGTAACATATCCATTCGTTCCACCAACAGATATGGCTTTATTTTCAATAGTTACTAACTGTCACTAGAAAATGGCCATGGCGATACCAGGCATCTTGATTGACATTTTATTTAAAAATCGCTTTTTATTCAAAATCTGAGATAGATAGGTATAGGAAACCCTAATATAGTTTGAAAGAGCATTTGAATCTGCTCCGATTTATTTAAAAAATACAGGGTGTTGCATTTGAAATAACAAAGTTTTTATGTAAAATAAATCCTTAAAGTAGATCACTAATTTTTGGTACCCCTGTATAAATTTAAGGCAACAATAACATTTTTCAGTAAAGTTTATTTCTTTATCTTTAAACTCAGTACAAGAATTAATTCTGAAAAGTAATATACAGGGTGTTGATAATCAATTTTCTTGTAGCATGCATATTTAAATATCTTTAAATATCTCAAAAACCAATGATTTTAAACATATTTAACCCTTATAATAAATGCCTTATAAAATACCGGGTGTTCCATAAGAAAAAATATAACTTTGGTATGGATCTTAGTTCTGAGACGCCCTGTATATTTCAAAATAATTTTAAATTGTGCACATTGCCTCCCCACATATACCCATAAAATATTTTGTTTCTACATCTTTCCGTTTTCGTATAATCAACCGAGGCGAATGAGGTGCGTCACCCTGTATATTTATATACCGGGTTGCTGTTATGTATGGAAACGGTCGATTATTAGCTAAAATATAGGAGGTATCGCAAAAAGTTAAATTTAAAAGTTATAAGGTTTATAAATATCTATTAGCGGGTAATAAATTTAAGCATACAGGGTCGGTCGTAAAGTCGTGGCACATCAAAGTTTCATTTTTTTAAATGGAGCCCCCTGTATATTATTGCATATTTCGGTTCTTCCTTCAATTCTAAGCAAAAATCGAAATACACACGATGTAACTCAAACCAACCGTTTCCGAGTTATTGACTTTTGAAAATATCACTTAAAGAATTTGATTTAATTAATTTCGATATGTTCAGTTTCATTTAACGATGCCACTCTGCCGAAACTGTGATATTTAATAATATTTGACATTAGTTTTCAAGTTAGCATTTACAGATGTATAAAATGAGAGTATATCAAGTCTGGAAATTAAAAAATTTTCATTTAACATTTCAATTCTTCAATTTATGTACATTCTGTATTACGAATATTGCTTAGAATTGAAGGCTTCATTTAAAAAAAAATAAAGTTTGATGTGACATAACTTTATGACCGACCCTGTATACTTAAGTTTACTAATAGCTAATAGGAATTTAAAAACCCATTACAACAGTATCACAGTTTCGGCAGAATGGCATCATTAAATCAAATAAAACACATCGAAATTAATTAAATTAAATTGTTTAAGTGATATTTTCAAAAGTCAATAACTCGGAAACGGTTGGTTTGAAGTACATTGTGTGTTTTTCGATTTTTGCTTAGAACTGAAGGAATAATTGAAATATGTAATAATATACAGGGGGTTCTATCTAAAAAATAAAACTTTGATGACCACGACTTTATGAACGACCCTGTATACTTAAATTTATTACTGGCTCATAGATATTTAAACATCCTATAACTTTTGTATTTAACTTTTTGTGGTACCTCCTATATATTTTACCTAATAATCGACCGTTTCCATACATAAAAGTAGTAAGTAATTATATATACACATTTACAATTGTATGCATTACTTCTATTTAAGCTAAAGTAAAAAAATAGTTTTAATACACAAGTTGGAGTTTACTATTTAAAAGTGGATTAGATGTTTGGTATTATTGGTTTTTAATACCTTACGCCACCTCTTTCCAATGCGTGGATACCAGCAATTGTTTGGCCACCAGCCGAGCATACTTCGTCTTTTAACGTGCCCATGTGTTTATTCGTTTCCAAGACCATTTTTGCCGCGCCCATAACGGTTTGGGCGGCAAACCTCGTAGCCATGTCTCGATGGAGACCCATTCGAACGCCACCATCCGACAGGGCCTCGATAAACAAATAAACCTAAAAAATATTGAATAAGAAAAACAAATATCTATTACTAGAAAATAAGGCATTTTTTTATAAATTTTCTGATAGTAGGTAGACTAGGTCCCTATCTACATTTTCTAGATTTTATATATAATATTCGTTATATGGTGTTATTACTAGTATAGCGTCGGGTCCACATATGTGCTGTTCCTGTACGAATAAAGGTTGATTTACATTATTAGACATACAAAGCAGTGCATGCACACATAATCGTTTTTGTTTCTTCTTTGCGGCTTGTACTCGTATGGCTGTAAATGTTAATCAACCTTAATGAGTATTCAGGATAAATATCGCATATGTAGACAGAAAAAATAGTGTTCATGAGTCAATATTCAACTTCTTGGGCTAGTAAATTAACGCACATCAAGATATTTGAAAATTCACTATGTATATTGTTCCATCTTTGTTACTTTCTGTATAACAGTATTTTGAAATCGTCAAGCACCCCCATTTATGATATTTAATAAATAAACGGTGCTCAGAATTGCGATTCTGTATTGGTTAAAAGTTACTTTGTCGATTACAGGCCGATTAACTTCAATTTCTAACGTGATTACGTAAGTATTCCTTTTCCATGTTGTACACTATAGTTGTGTTAAAAAATAATATTTTTTACATTGAAAAATATAGTATATTGGCAAATAAATAAAGTCAAAACATGTAAATTGTTAAAAAGCTAAAGTAAAACCAAAAAAATTGACGTCAATGAATTGACTTAATTTGCTAAAATTTTTCGATCTATGATTTGTTTTTGCATCAGTACCAATCACTAATCCTAATACCTGTTGACACTGTTTTGCCAACTATTTCAATCATTGTTGTTGATCGCTTCGTATACCGTACTGGCAACTCTTACTTTTAAGTCGGTATTTACATATGTGGAAGTAAATCGCATAGAGATCTTCTTAAGTCGGATTGAGAGAAATGCCACGGTGTGCTGTTGCGGCGTTGCCACATTTCTCCGGCACGCCTTTCCCTATCAAGTAAAGTAAAATCACGATCGCAAACCGCTTATGTTTAAAAACCTTTTTCGAAAAGAATCTAGATAAAATCATTAGATATGTTTCTGAGCATCTGACATGGAATTATAAGGATATCGTTAAGGTGTCCATATTTTTTATAACGGGAAAACGTCAGTCATCGCGATAATTTAAAAACTCAACTGTTAACACATAACACGCGATAACTCATGAACCACTTTAGATATTGAAAGTTTTTTTATTTTGAAGTTCGGTTCTTTTACGAGATGTTTAAATGAGAAAAATTCGATAGGCTTGTTTTTTTTATTCAAAAATTTAAAATAAACCCGTCCATTTACTTTTAGTGCATAGCAATTTTCAGAAATCGTGTAACTTTTTTATTTGTAAAGATGATCACATACTCTCTGCGAAGAAAGTATAGCAGAAATATTAAGGAAGTTTTTGAAAAAAACTACAATCAACTATTTCTAATGCATTTCGAGATATCGATTTTTGAATTCAGAGTTCTAATAGCGCGACCAATGTCGAACACCAACTAAATTCCACTTATTTCTACCAAAAGTGCAAGTGTTTCTAACTTGCACTTAAAAATTTACATTAAGCTATAGGGAAAAGTATGACTCGTTAATAAATAAACAAATAAAGTATCACGAGACGTAATTAAATCGTAAAGCTGAACGCATGATATCCATACTTCTCTAGAATTTTAACTACAGATTGGGTCGATCGGTCGACCGCGACGAATGTGCTGTATCCCCTTCCACGTCTCCTAGTAGTGTGCACATATTCTCGGTTTGTTTCAGACGTTTGGCAACGTTTCTACTGTTCTCTCTTTGTTCAGTACATTATAAACGCATTGCATTCTTCTTACATACGGAAATCTCGACCCAAAACTAACCTTTGCCAGCCCTTAGTATGTACCCGATTGTTTGAAAATAAACATTGGCACAATTTCTGAATATTTGTAAATGAATGTATGGAGCCGGGGTTTGCGAGAGATCTTAAAAAATAATATTTTCGATTGGAAATGTCATCACGATTGTATCATTTTTTTGTAAAAATACGCAAGCGTCTAGAAAATGCCGTGACCTCATCTGATCGCAGCTAGATTTGACAGGCGTGTTCATTGCTAAGGCGTGCAGACAGCATCTTGTACCGCGGTATTTGTAAAGTGCGCATGCGCGAAGACAAATACTGTCAAAACAAACGGAAACAGATGACGTCACGGCATTCTCTAGACGCTTTGTAAAAATACATAATGTGTTATTATATGATACTCATTTTTTATTCGCGATTTTATAACACGTATTCTACAATTTCTACGTCTAAATATGGCATGTTGTAAGTCGTTATGTATGCTAAAACAAAAATATTAAATGTGGTATCTATAATACTGACAATAAAAGCCAATATACTGTATGTGTTTAAAAAAAATTTGGTTAAGTGAGCTTTGATGTTTACAATTGAAAAAAAAATAATTTCCCAGAAATCATTTTTATTTTCTACGTTTTATCATAAAACGTTTTGAGCATATTATATTTATTGAGTGGCACCGCACCGCCTGTCTTGATTTGCTTTTTATTTACTAACATAGCTGTCTAATTAATTAGATTTTTAACCTTTCTGCATTGTTTTTAATTTGCTTGAACTATTCAATTAATTACTTACAAAAGCTGGCCCACTGGCTGAAACCGCACCCACTGCATTAATCATATGTTCGGGTAATGCCTGGCACATGCCTGTAACTTCTAGAAGTTTCTGGACTAACATTATGTCCTCTTCTGTGGCCGTTGTACCGGGACAGTAAACTGTGCATCCTTCACCAGCTAACATTGGCGTATTCGGCATCACCCTTACAACTCTACTTCCGGTAAATTTGGAGAGCATCTTAAATTAAGACCCTGTGTAATTTCTTTTTACTAAAGGATGTATAGTACAATCATTATTACAACTAGACTGCAACACAAATCATCTACAAATAACCTAAAAAAACTTAAAATATCAAATATCTGTTTCTACATAAATGGTCGGGCTGAGAATCCACGAAGATCAATTTCTCAGAGTGGCTGTTTAGCGGTACACAAACTAAGAAAAATATCTTGAAGTTTCTAGGAGTAATCTCTAATAATGTAATGTATCAAATGAGGTTAAATCTAACTCAGAGTAATCATGAAGTTAGTCTAAGTTTTAAATAAAATAATTAATGTATTTATTTAAGAAACATATTGTATATCGAATTATGTTGTCAAAAATAAATTATATTTGCCCAACGATCGTTTAAACATGATCGTTTAATATTTTTGAACACCCTCGAAAAAGAAATACCATTCCTCAAACTCCCAGTGGATGACATACCAAGAATGTACAACTTTGAGAAACACCTCAATGTGGTATTGAGTAATAAAAAGAATTGGAAGAGAGAAACGTTTGCCCAGCAGTTAAAAGACCATACCATAACTTGGTATTTGGTGTACTGATGCTGAAAAGATATGGAAGATATGGAAGACTTCAGCAATCACACGAAGAACTAAACTGCGCATTGCGAGCTCCCTCATATTCCCCATAGCTATGTATGGCTCTGAAACATGGATACTAAAGGAAAGTGATAAGCAAAGAATAAATGCCTTGGAGATGTGGGTATATCGACGGCTGCTGCGAATGCCATGGACGGCTCATCGAACAAACATTTCCATTATAGAGGAACTAAAAATTGAGACACGTCTGGTTACCAGATTAAATCAGTCAATCCTCCGATATTTTGGCCATATTGCCAGGAGTGGCACCTCAATTGAGAGACTGATGGTGGAGGGAAAGGTAGAGGGAAGACGTTCACGTCGAAGGTGGGTAGACCAAGTCAAAACCCTAGTGGGCCACAACCTCCACGAAGCTTCACATATGGCGCAGTGTCGAACAACTTGGTCCGAGGAAGTGAGGGGAATTAACACATGATGTCACCATACTCTCATGTAGAGTGAAGGACTGAAGAGGGAGATACTGATGCTTCCAAAACCAAGGCAGGAACAGGGATCGGAGTATTTGGACCGAGAACAATACTCCGAACCAATGGGTACCTACCCCAGTATCCTACAGACAGAAATCTACGTTATCGAAAGATGCGTACTGTAGCAAACTTGTGTGCCATAACTTGGGTACGACTGATATTGAAGATAGAGAACTACCCTCTGTAAAACCGTTCCAGATATTGCCCTGGATGATAAGTTATAACTCAAAAAACGGGGATACAATACGAGCAGATCTTTAAGGTCGCGGTGATTACCCCCCCCCCCATTCTACATTCAACAACGATCGTTCAACGTTACGTCATCATTACTTATCAAATATGCGTTTGAAGGAGTGTCTGTTATATTATTTAGAAAACTGTCTTTATATTATTTAGAAAAATAAAGCGAAAAAGATATGTGACAGGGCTTTTAACTCTTCGTCATTTTTGTTCAAAAGTTATTATTTTCTGTCACTGGACAGGCTAGTTGTTTTACTAGTAATACCTGTTCTAAATCGGCTATTGTAATTCCCGCCAAAATCGATATGAACAATTTATTTTTAATTTCAGCACTGTAGACAACATCGGAGATTGATTTTATGGCTCCAGGAAGAATATGGGGTTTGACAGCTAAAAATATTATATCTGCTTTGTTGGCTACAATGGCATTCTCCGTGTGTACACTAGCCCCTAGTGCTTTCCAGGAGTCCAAATTTTTCGGATAAGGACTGGAAACAAATACTTGGGAATAGTCTATTAAACCTAAGGAAACAAAATTAATTTAATAAATTATTCTATTTAAGTTACCTCAGAGAAATTAGTAAATATTGAGACCCCAGACCCCATAACATATGAATAACTATCAATGTCTACTTACCCTTTTGCTTTAAACTTTTACAAATCGCTTTGGCCATAGCTCCATCACCGATAAACCCTATTTTGTGAGATAATTTCGCCTGGTTATTCACTGACCTGTGGAGTACATGGAAAGAAAATATTTTTTCACATTGTTTAGGATAGAAGATACTGAAACAAAATAATACTCTGTATACCTACCTACAGGATAATCTAATTTATATTTTACATTCTTTTATTTTAGGTGTTTAAAAACTAATGCTACTCATTGTAATAACCAATAGTACCGAATGATAGTATTATGCAACCCAAAAATAAACATTGTTGACCCAATATAATAAAAAAACGGCGTCAGCGATGGCTATGAAATGAAGATCGCTGTCATTTTATATGTAAAATTATATGGGGAATGTTATCGGTCGTTATTTCCAAGCCAACTGGACGCCGTTTTTACCTTCAGAGAAATCAGTAAATCTATAGAAATTTGTTGATTTTTATCAAGAAATATTTATTGAGACACCCATTAATATCTTGTTTATATCTTGCAATGTTGCCATATTTTGATAAATCTCACCAACAAACTGTTCATTTCATGTTTATGAATGTACTAATAAATAATTATTATATAATTAATAATGAATAATATAACTTTTATTTCACTGTGGTAATTGTTTACACCTGTATTGTAGATCTAATATACCGTATGATCGAAAAAAAACGGCGTCCAGTTTGCTTGGAAATAACGCGATCAATGACATTCCTCATATAATTTTACATATAAAATCATAGCGATCTTTATTTCATAGCCATTGCTATTGACTTCCTGTGATGGCAGTATTTCTTTTCCAAACAAATATTAAAAAAAATACGAAAACAAAATAACTATTTGACATGACGTCAATAAGTATTCAACATTTTTATAACATTTTCATGTTCATTGTTTCTTTAAATCGCCCATTCTTTTATCTGCCATTTAATTTTCTCAAAAATTCAATTTAGATTATAATTTATAACAGAAGACAATTTTTTAATAGGCCCCTTGCACGCGTCGGTTAAAATATAACTATTCATCACTACTACATATTTTTAGCTAAAATATATTGAGTTTGTAAAAATTTTATCTAAAGGTGCGTATTCATTATCCGCACGAACGAACGAACGAATGTACGCTAGTGGTATGGACGGGGACCGCACGATAGGACCGCACGAGAAGACCGGAGGCATTTGTTGGCGAACGCCTTTGATGTACCGACTCGAAACGGATGGTCGAGCGAACGAACGAACGAACGGCCGCATGCGTTCGGTCCCCGTCTAAATATACCGCACTTTCATTCGTTCGTTCGTTCGTTCGTTCGGATAATGAATACGCACCTTAAAACGAAACAAATATTACAATGAATGTAGAATGTATCCCGATTTTCCCCACAGAATTTCCATTCCCCTTTATTTCTTAGCTTCAATCTACTGAGGTGTTCGGTGTTCGTTGAGGAGACAGTGTCCTGTTAAAAACTGCATGACAATCCAAGATCGTTCTTACTTAAATCAATGAAAATCTTTGTTTTTCAGTGTCACAAGTTCTGAGAAATTTCTTCGAGTGTTGTAGACCGTTGGAGGATTTTCATTCCAGGTTACAGATGCCTTCCATGTTCTTGAGTTCCGCTTTAAGTTGGTTTCCGCTTGGTAAGCAGAACGATTCTAGTACAGTTATTGGAGTGGTCGCTCTTTTTCTAGCTTGATCGTTTGCTTTTTCATTGCCTTCTATCCCTTGATGAGCTGTCACCTAGAATAGGAGGGCTTATTTTGTTCTCTAGGAATTATTTGGCCAACTTCGAACTATTGGTTACTGCGAGTTGATAGTTGATCGCTTGACTACTGGATAATATGGCTATTTCCTGTCTCCGATAGTTCCTATCTAAGATAAGTTGTATGCATCTTTCGATAGCGTGGATTTTTACCTGAAGGATGCTGCGGTAGGGTGCGCATTGGTTCGGAGAATTTAGTTTTCGGCCCAAATACTCTTATCCCTGTTTTGCTTTTGAAAGTATCAGTACCACGTTATGGTATGGTCTTTTACCTGCTGAGGAAACGTTTGTCTCTTCCAATCTTTTTATTGTTCAATACTACAGTGAGGTCACATCCACTGGGAGTTGGAGCAGTGGAATGTTCTTTGTGAGGGTGCTCCAAGCCCCTGACCTGAAAATTCTTCAGTATTATTTCGGTCAATGACCATTCTAAACATTGTCACATTGGCATATCTACTGACGACAATGTGCAGTGGTATTAGGTCTAGGGTGACCTCATTGCTGCTGTTGGGCATGTTCTTATGGCAGCTGTGATGCAGCTGCATCTGTGTACTTTGCAAAGGTTTTGCCTTATTGTATATTGCTCTAGTTATGTACCAAGTAACTGCTCCGTGGGTAATCATGGGTCTTACTATCATGGTGTACATCCAGAGCAAAATGTTAGTATCTATTTCCCGCCAGTCTTCTGCATATCATGAGAGCCTTTGTGGCTTTGCTGGTAATGTTCTTAATATGCCTGTTCCATAGAAGTTTATTGTCCAGGATTGTACCCAGATATTTGACTTCCTGTGATGGCAGTATTTATTTTCCAAACAAATATTAAAAAAAAAATAAAAACACAAAATAAGTTTCTTTAGCATGAAAAAAAGATATTATTTAAGAATCAAAGGTTGAAATATAGTAGTCTGTCGGACCGAGTCAGGGAAAATTTCAACAGATGTAGGGTTTCCAGAGGATTTACTCGGGCATGTTCGGATTGTCAAAGCGTCCGGCGCGGTCCGGATAATTTCTCAGTTACTTTGTTGAATATTTTAGTCTCTACGATGCTACAGCTCTACTTAACCAACGCATGTTCGAAAGTACCCATTTCTATACTTTGGCGTTCAAATGTTTCGCTTTTGGTGTACTCCTGGAGAGTTAATGTTTTTTTTTACATTTTGTTCATTCAGGGGCTATTATTTGCATCCTATAAAAGTTCTTAAATAAATTTATAGTTTCTTTTTTGCGACGTCCGGATTTCTGAGTTCACTTGTCCGGAATTTCGAAAAACCTTTATGGAAACCCTAAACAGAGATGACATCCATAAAATGACAAAACACAATTATTTATCTGTGAATTAAAATGAGAGAAATATCCGTCACTATCATGTTTGTATCCTCTCTTTGGTGATACCAGTTAAAATATTTGCAGTTATTTAAAAAACAGCCCCTTAAATTCTATATAAAATTATACTTGCAAAGTAGAGAATAATTATTTTTTTTATATGGATCCAAATACGAACGTTATGCTTATAAATAATTGGTTAAAAGATATATTATAGGGTATTCAAACAAATATGATAAATTCTAAAATGTTCAGTCACAATTCAAAGCTTGTAACGATTTCTATGGCAATCTAATCTCTAATTTTCAGTTTTTTTGAAAAATTAACTTTATAGTTGAATAGTAAAACAAATACCTATACAAAATCAAGTGTATATATTAAAGACATTTATAAAACATATAAAACCGATACTTACAATTATTATTAATCATGCTTACGTATCCTACACTTAATTTTTGGTTTACGTGTATAATTTAAAACTAATACAATATAAGGAACTAAGTCTTCATTTTAACTAATATCTAAAATAGTAGTAAAGGAGAATATTAACAAAACCTCCGAAAATGTGAAATTATTTAAATAGAGCAATGAATTACAAAAAAAAACTTAAAATAATTTAAAAGTGGAGTGGAAAATATTTACAAAGTTATAACATTTCTTAACAAATATACCCAGACATACTTACATGTAACAATAAAACTTTTACCTTGCCTTACAATCGCATTACATGTCAAACAAAATATAATGTACATCTACATTTATCTAACTATACAAAAATAATCACCTAATTTCTTCTTTTATCATATTAGCAATGTGTTATCTTTATATAATAAAATATACTTAGATTTATAAAATTACCTTTTCTTCTCTCTAAATAAAACTATTCAAAAATGTTCTTTTTAATAAAATGAGATCTTGTCTAGTTAACTTTGGCACCAAAAAATAATTTGAGCTAAATAGGTTCTTGTTTTCATGTTTAAAAGCTTCTAAAATTATTGTGATTATTACATATTATTTTTGTGATAAAATACTATATTATCAGAGATTCCAAATAATTTGGATACACCATGATCAAAAAAAAACAATGTCAAGTTACCCTAGATATACTGACTTAAGTCATAGATAAGCATTTTTAAGTTAACTTGATACTGTTTGTTTATCATACAGTATTTCTACATTAATACTAAGAGCATAAACTGACTGACAATATATAAGACAAGTTTGACATAGTTGTGCCAGTACATGTGCAAATTATTAATGAGAATATGAAATATTAATAGTTAATCAAAACATCAATAGATTACAAGACACAGAGCTTATACTAAAGGCATAGACAGCATATTTTCATGAATATCTAGTAGTTTATCATAAATAACTCTAAAACATGGTCGATCAACAGGTTTTTGGGCCCAACACATCTTCATAAGTTCATAGACATCAGCAGGTGTACTTTCAGGAGGTGACATGATATTGCCATCTTTTAAAAATTTGATAACTTCCTCATGAGTTTTTCCATAATAAGGTTGTAAAGCAAAAGAAAATATCTCCCATAAACAAACTCCAAACGCCCACACATCAGTTTCTGAAGTATATTTGTTATAGAGAATGCTCTCCAAAGGCATCCACCTTACTGGTATAGCATCTCTATCAGTACCTTTATAATAATCTTGAAGATAAATTTTCTGTGACAATCCAAAATCTGCAATTTTTACTACCATATCATCATTTATAAGGCAATTTCTAGTTGCAAGATCTCGATGAACAAACTTGCGATCTGATAGATAGACCATTCCTGAAGCTATTTGAACAGCAATATTTACTTGATCAAGATGTGTTAATTGAAAATCTCTATAAATTTCTTTGTTGGTAAATTCTCCACTAATGGCACTTCTTACTACATAATTTGTTGGAGAACACTGTCGAAGAAATTCATTTAAATCTCCCTTTCCCATGTATTCAAACAGTAAACACATAGGTCTTCCAACTGCGCACACACCTAGTAATCTCACTATATTTGGATGATCAAATTCTGCTAACAGACAGGCTTCCTTTTCAAAATCTTCTTGCATATCATCAGAAGCATCATCTTTTAACATCTTTACAGCTACAATAGTAAAATCTTCACCAGCAACCAAGCCTGGAGCTTTGGCTTGAAAGACACTTCCAAAAGCTCCTTGGCCCAAGTCTCTTAGATAAATTATATCATTTCTAGGATATTCCAGTTTTTCTAATTTGGGATTCAAAGGCGCACCATGTCGATGATATTGCATATTACTTGGCAGTTTATCTAAATCAATATTAACTTCCGCATTAGCAGGTGCATTATAACCCAATATTCTGCGTTTGTATAATCTATGACATAACAATATCAGTAAGAGACAAATTATTATTATGAGGAGGCCCAAACATGAAGTTATTATTAAAAATGTCGGAGAAAAGTACTCCTCCATTTTAATTCCTGGTAATTCACCTTCATCATTAGTAGAGTTTAAACATCTAGGAATATCACAATGTTGCCATCTTATAGCAGGATTTGTAGTAAAACACCAGGGTCTTTTCTCTTCTGCACCAGCATTCCTACAATAGTTTTCAGCATTTTGAAGCTCCATAAAAACATCTGGTGGTGAATTATGAGCTTGTGGTTCTTGTGAATCCCACCTTTGACATGGTATCCCATCTTTGGTAACATTAACTTTACCTTGGTAATAGCGTCCCTTTCCTTTGATGCAATCATACGTAACTTCAGATGTTTTCATATCAGTTAAACCTGCATATGAACATACCGATGCTGACTTTGGTGCTTCTCTGTATTTAGGTAGAACACTGCAGTCTGGCAAACGAAAATGACCTCTTGACTTAACATATACTCCATTAGCTTTTTTATCCTCTAGCACAGCCCATTCTTTATAACAAAACAGTAATTTTAATGCTATACAATCCTCATAACACAAAGGTAAAGGAGCTGAATCATTACATTCTGGAAAAGCATAAACACATAGCATCTTTTCAGCAGCACTACGACATGGTTCTTCAAATGTGGACATCATTTCATCCCATAAAGCAGTTGTAATTTGTTCATTTTCATATCCGCCAGAATTGTTGTACCAAATTAATTTCGTGTGCTCTACATAATTTTTACATATTTTACCATGGTATAAATTACAATAACCATCTGCATGTGTTTGATAAAAGCACGTCAAGATAAATAAACAAACTTGTATAAGTTTCATGATTGAAACGAATAATCCGAATACATCTAGATAGAGCAGTCCGTCATTATACTATATTAATAAACATTATTTCATTTTTTTGTGTTTTCACTGTGAAATAACATTTACATTTTTTAAAGAAATTTATGGAATTACGAAATTACTTTTCACAAAAAATTGTTTGAGTGTCAAAGTCAAAACTAGAAATGTCAATTATGACATGACGTTTTCGCTTGGCATTTCAGAAAATCGATAATTTAAATATGAATTAAAATATGATCTGAGTATGGAAAGTTGGATATGCTAGAGATCTTAAGATATCGCAGACTGCAAAACAAAGATAATAGCACAGGATAATAGCTGCAGAACATCCCTAATCACCCCTAATGATTTGATGATCATTTTAATTTGCTATTTTTAACATTTCTGTTTTAAAAAATGATCTGAATTTATTCATTGCCATTCTTTTGAAAAAATCTGGAAAAAATATAAAATATATCATTGAATTTATCTACAATTTTCTCTAAAAATTATTTGAACAATAATGTTAAATAATATTAAAATAATGTCTTCTGATATAATGTCTGATGTCTAAATTTAAATTTGGTAAATTTGAAGCTAAACTATTCAAGCAAAGGTAGATGGCAAGTGTTAATAGGATATGAATTTAATAATTTGTTCATTATTATCGAAATGTGTGATAAGCTTTACATTTATAGTTATTTTTAAAAGCTATTTTTTTCATAGAATTTCTAGACACACTAGCAATTTTATTTGAATTTTTTAGTATTAATAACAACTTCATATATAAACAATGAAATATCAATATTAAAATAACTATTATGCAAGGATCTTGGCGGTTGCCTTAACGATTTTGGCATTAAATTATGTATCATTTAAAAAATATATTTATATATTCATTCTTCAAATATTGCATCTAATTTGAACACTCTACTTACCGTTTAATATTTCTGAAAACTAATTTGTTTAGAAAACTCATATTTATATTAAAGTCGTTCTTGTATTACAATGAGTAATGATTAGCGTTAAAAACGATATTTTATGACCAAGTATTGGTTTTTCTTCTATACTTTTAACCTAACATTGAACTTGTTTCTAAATAATGGATTTCTAGTTATACTTAGGTAACTAGAACCACTAGAACTAAACGTAGGTAACATAGCTATATGGTGTAGAAATAAAATACACATTACTTTTCATAAATATATATTTCACTAAAATATACAATTTATATACATAAATTCCATTACTAAAATTTGTAGAATACTTCTGAACATAACAAGAAAAATTAGTAAAATGAAATTAACAAATTTGTATGTTAACCGTCTGATCGAAAAAAAGCGTCCAATTGACGTCCACCTAGACGCCTTTTTTCGATAGAATGGTACATATATACACTGGCAGACACTGGATTAAATGAGCATCCAGTTTCTTTTGCTTTTAAATACCTAGTATGCAATAATGTCTCAATTATTTATTATTAATACTTCTTTGTAAACCATTGAGCTAGATTACAATTAGTAATACAAATATCTTTTTATTACCCTAAAATACTATTCCCTTTGACTAATACAAGATGATAATACCTAAATAATACAAAGATCACAATATTTTTATATTATAAAAATACAGTTTCATTTGTGTGGTTCTCTAGGTCTATGGATTGAAATTCAAACTTGTGTCTTTAGATTTAGGACTAAATACATATACCTTTTTCAAGTCAGAAATACTTATTGTAATATTTAGACTGATTACTTAACTACTCTTTTTTTCACCTAATTCTTGGGATCTCTTAGTAGCCGCTTCTACAGCATTAATTAAAGATGCCCTAAAAAAGAATGTAAAATAAAAAAGGACAAATATATCAATAGCAATAAAAAAACGGTGGCAGAGTTGGCTTGGAAATGACTAGCGCAGTTATTTTTTATATCGATTTTGTCATTTTAGAAGTGTGGTCTGTATATTAACATGTAAGACAGAGAATAATATAAATGACCGGTTGACAGACAGAGAGACAAAATCAAAAGCGGCATTCAGTGTTGCCTGTTTTTACGTTTGTAGGAAAATTTGTTGGAAAAAAAATATTTTAAAAACGTATACTACTGAAATGAAGATAATGTATCTAAGCTAAATATAATCTATTACATTTGTAGTAAAATGAGTAACTAATTGTGAAAAATAAGGTTCCCTAGATGCAACATTTTCCATAAATGCTTACTTGTGCGGTTTAAACTTTTGATGCAAAATCCGGCAATATCGCATAGAAGAAATGTATCAACCCAACTTTTATTTTTTTTAAATACATTTGATTTTCCATTAAGCTGCTCTACATCACTGTTTTACCGTAACGTTTTACACGTCAAAATCCAGACCATACTTCTAAAATGACCAAATCGGTATGTAAAATTATATGGTAAACATCATCGATTATCGTTTCCAAGTCAACTTGACGGCATTTTTTTCCATTTGTATGGTATATAAAAACAGATCATGGAATAAAAATAATAGGAAACGAGCTTATAAATAATATTGACGAGACCGCGAAAGGGTTTCCTTATGGCTGACTTGAATTCCACTAAATCAGTGGCGTTTGGAATTTTTAAAAATTTTAAAATATAAAATAAAGTACTCAATAATTTGCTGGTTCTGTTTTACATTGAGCCAATAAATGTCAATTAATCAGTTACTATAATTATTGTTAAAAAAATTATAATATTTCTACGTTCTAAAATATATATTTCACAATTAATTAAATGACTTTCTAAGATTTAAGTCCTGACACTATGTCGTACCCGATTTATACACTTTGTATAAAACCAATTATAAAACAAACAAGAATTTATATAAAATAAACACACAAAAGCTGAAAATGCTGGCAAAAATATCATCAAAAAAAGTCAAGACAATATTAAGAAAAAATATTTCAAAATGGTTGCCACACTTCCATCTGTAATACTTGATTATAAAAATAGTATTTAACTCCATCCTTATTTTTTTTTTGTTCAATGACAAACACTAACCTAACACCTCCAGACTCCAAGGCATGTACACCAGTAATTGTAGTTCCTCCAGGTGAGCACACCTCATCTCTGAGAACTGCTGTATGTCTTCCAGTGGCAAGAACCATCTTGGCTGCTCCTAAGGTAGTTTGAGCGGCCATTTCAATAGCCATCTGTCTAGGAATACCTTGTTTAACACCAGCATCAGCCAGCGCCTCTATTACCAAATATATCTGTGGAACATTTAAATAAAGGTTTTTCTTCATAATAGCACACTAATTTTATTGTGTAATACAAATAACACAGATTAGTCTGTGCAAATATCTACCTTATGATCGAAAAAAAATGCATCCAGTTGGCTTGGAAATGAGGATCCATGACATTCCCCATATAATTTTACATATAAAATGACAGCGATCTTCATTTCATAGCCATCGCTGACGCGGTTTTTTTTTCGATCATAATATGGTATAATTTGACAAGAAGCAAAATAAACACATTCACTTTTTTTGGACAAAATTAAAGAATGATAGAAAAATAACAGTATCATAGTGGCCTTTGAGATGAGTATTAAAAAGTAGAACTTTAATATAAGTATTAAGATTGTAGAGCAGAAAATAAGTATGAAGTAACACATTTTTTTGTTATTTCTATAGTATTAGGACTTACAAAAGCTGGTCCACTTCCGGCTAAAGCTCCAATAGCATTAATCATTGATTCTGGGACTTGTTTGCACACTCCAGATACTTCCAAAACTGTTTTAACCAGATCTATATCGTGGGGTGTTGCTTTGGCTCCTGGACAAAATGCTGTACAACCTTCTCCAACTAACATTGGAGTGTTTGGCATAACTCGAATTATTCTAGCATTTTCTTCCAAAGGTCCCAAAACCTACAACAAGCTATAATTATTATGAGACACATATAACCAGCATGTTATGTATTAATTGTATGTAAGGTATGTAGGTAGTGTTTAAGTAATTTACTTTTTAACTTGCATTTTGAAGTTGTTGTAAAGGAATACCAGCTAATACTGATACAAATAACTTTGATTTGACTGGAACAGTTAGTGTTTCATGTACGTTAGCAATTGCAATAGGTAAAATGTGGGGCTTCATTGCTAGAAATATAACATCTGCATGTTGTACCACTTTGCCATTTTCTGTGGTTACATTGGCACCACGTTCTTGCCACCATATTAGGTTTTCAATATTTGGTCCTGATACGTAGACTTGTTCGAAGTTAATTAAACCTATTAAAGAGATTAACAACAGTCTAGTTAACTACTGAGATAGATATCAGAATACACAGACCTTTCTTGGTAATTCCTTCGCAGATTGCTTTAGCCATATTTCCTCCCCCTATAAATCCAATTTTCTCTTTAATTATTTTCACACTGTCGCCCATTTTAAAATACTTCTAGCTTAGGGATACTTGATTACTCTGACTATAAAGTGTATAAATATATATAGGTAAGTATTTTAGAACACATATTTCATTTTTCTTAAATAAACATAAACTATATACTTACTGAATACAATAATTAATACTGTGCTTAAAGAGTGGTTTCACTTGAATATGCTTAACTTAACATAGAGATATTTTTGTCGTACACTCAACCACACACTCAACACTCAACTTATTAGTTCTGGCTGTGGTTCTGGTTTCTGGTATTCTGCTGGTTCAAAAATCAAAAATAACCTATAACCTCTTATCATGCTCTTATCCAGAGCTTTTATTGGCTTTTATTTTTATTTTATTTTAGTATATGAACTCTCTTATCAGTGAGTCTTTTATTACATCATATATAACATGATCAAGGTCGTAGATCACAGATCTATCACAGATCATATTACATCAAAAATATCATGCAACATTGCCAGCTGTTGACATTGAGTTTATCAATGGAATCAAAATGGAATTTTGGGAATTTACCAGAATTTACCTATTTACGATTTTGTGAAAATGCTGTAACATATTTCTGGTCAAATCTCTGGCAATGCCGTCTCTAATAGAACAGCCTTGAGGCGAGATTTATGACGTCACGCTAGTTAGATACTACGGATTAATAAATATGTTGTAGAATACATGGAAAACATAATTATTCCTCAGATTTTTGGTTTGTATTTTAAAATGATATAGTTTACATGAAATATACATAATATACAGTTAATAACTACAACATATATACCTATTTATAGTAATAAATACTTTGGCAAATAAACTATGAACCATACAAATGCAGCAAATGTTTTACAATATACAAATAATATATTACATAAGATATTGGGTAAAATGTAAATATATTTTAAATTTTGGGGTTTGAAAATCGATCTAATTTAACAAAAAACATTCAATATCTGCTAATAGTGATGTATTATTTGCATTCACAAAATTTATATGTATATTTTGCAAGTATCAATGTTAGAAAAATTATATTTACAAATAATACAATATCATCTAAAAAAGGCGTCAGCGATGGCTATGAAATGAAGATCCCTGGCATTTTATGTGTAAAATTATTCTAAAATTTTTGATTTTCTTGGGATTTTTAGGTTCGGGAAAAACGCTGATGAACGTTTTCATTTGGGTTTTCATTATTTTTATTTGGTTAAAAAAAACGTTTCGGCTAACTATAGCCTTCATCAGTGTTGTGTCATATGAAAAAAATAGTGTCGAATATAATCCAAAAAATTACATATAAAATATTCACACCACATAATGTTTACTGCAATTAATAAACTAATATAAACTTATCAAAAGATGACCACATATTTTTTAGAATTATTATTCTTAACACTAAAACTATCTACATTGACTATGGAGTACGCAGTAAACATTATGTGGTGCGTGGTGTGAATTTTATATGTAATTTTTTGGATTATATTCGACACTATTTTTTTCCTATGACACAACACTGATGAAGGCTATAATGTTAGCCAAAACGTTTTTTTTAAACCAAATAAAAATAATGAAAAACCAAATGAAAACTTAATCAGCGTTTTTTCCGAACCTAAATCCCAAGAAAATAAAAAAATTTAGAATATTTAGAAACAAGGTTCAAGAATATCAAATTTTCCAAGATTGTAAAATTCTAGTTAATTATTTTATGTGTACAATTATTTAGGGAATGTCATCGATGTTCATTTCCGAGCCAACTAGACGCCGATTTTTTTCGATGATACGGTATAATTCTTACATAAAATGTAAATAACATTCGACCAATTAAAACAAAGAAATATGAATTTCTTAGTATTTTTAGTAACACCTTTATTCTTAAAACTTAATTTTGTATTGCAAATATACCAATTTTATTGTTATTTTATTCATATTGTATTCAGCCATCACTTAAATATTTGATATTAATTTGGTATTATAAATAATCAACACTATTCAGTAAAAATTACTGAACAAATATATGTTATGCTTTACATACATTATATTATCAAACAAAAACACATTCTTCTTTTAAACTTTATCATTCTTGTCTTTACAAAAATCTTTTTTAATTTTGAACTCAAAATAATATTTTTCATGATCTTTAATATACATATTCTTTATTTTTCCCTAGATCATAATACCTACTTACGTGTTTGAATCTATCGAAGCTGAACCAACAACACTTGGAGTGGAGATTCCACAATATGAATAAAATAAACATAATTGTCCAGTTTTCTTTAATACCATCCTGGGAGAATATCATTTTTAAGTTTATTAAAGATATTTTCAATAGAATTGTCTTGATTTATAACTCGTACCCACTTTTCTTGCTCTTCCGGATACTTTAAGCTGCCTAGTATAACTATCCTTTCCACCAGGAACACAACAAAGATGAGGCATAGCACCAAAAACACACTCCACTTAAGCTTTATTGATGAATTGTTAGAGTCTTAAAAAAAACACACAAAAATCACGATAAATAAAAAAATTATGGGCACTTTTAGGTTAAAGCACTTAACAAAACGTGTAATATTTCGTGTTTTTTTTTTGAGAAACAGAGTGACCATCATAGTGACCATATATCTGGTAGTACTTTATGTCACTTAAACACCAAAATAATTAGTTTTTTGCACTGCAATAACAAATAATACCAAAAATCAACCGACAAAATATGAATACAGAATCTAACCCCATATCTAAGTATGTACAGCTGATGAAGTAAACAAAAGTCCGCCCGTAGGCTGATCTTTTATAGAGGGCATCGGATGGCCATGGGCTAATATGAAAGAAAAAAAAATGAGCTGTCAAATTTGACAGCTGTCAAAAAAATTTCAAAGTTGTCCGATTTTGATAAAAATCTATATATAGGATAGGCATGGGTTAAAATGAAAGAAAAAAAATTGAGCTGTCAAATTTGACAGCTGTCAAAAAAATCTCAAAGTTGTCCGATTTTGATAAAAATCGATATATGGATGCTCCTTTGAATAAGAAGACTAAGGAAGGAGCATAATGCTATCCATGTATTCATGCATGGTGGGCGGAAAAGCCACCATAAAAGCTCTCTAGGGTGGGGATCCTTGACAGTTCTGTTTGACGATTCATTTGACACATTTGAATTTGATTTGAAATTTTGTAGATTTGTCAGTCTTTACGGAGCTTATTTTATGTTATTTATTATTTATCCTACTACTGATAGTTGTATAAAGGTAGTAAATCTAGATGGAAATTGTGGCAGAACTTAAATTAACAGTGACACTATCGCGATTTATCGAAAAAGACTCTAAAATAGTTGGTTGTGTAGCGTGCGGTAGATCTCGGCAAAAATTGAGTGAAATAATGGAACAACTTTTCGCTAGTAAGTGACTATATAATATACATACGTGTAGTAAACCGATCATTTATGAAATTCACTTAAATTAACTAAATTATATATATTTATTGCATTTTAGTTTTTATTTATTACTTGTCAAAGATTAGATGTCAAAGAATTTAGATACGTTAATTTGACTTACCTGCTTCAGTAGCGTATCGGATGTTTGTGTTAATAAATACTTATTATAATTTATCTATTTTTATTAGAATTATATATTTTTATAACAATTTTAATAACTACCAACATTTATTCACAACGTAAAATAAAACAACAAATTATTGAGTCTACCCCACGTCTACCCTACATCATAGTTTTACATTTATTAAATAAAATTAGAACGTATGGAGTGTAGAGGTACCTCTACACTCCATATTAGAACGGCACTGATAAACCGGAATTTTAGTCGACCATATTTGAGGCCCATTGCGGTGTACCCACGGGGGTGTCACTTGTATGGGAAAACAGGCAACAGTCAAATTTAAACGTGCCAGCAGAGTACTTAAACCACCTATGATGTGATACATATTCTATATTATATATTCTATACATATTCTTTATTTTTCCCTAGATCATAATACCTACTTACGTGTTTGAATCTATCGAAGCTGAACCAACAACACTTGGAGTGGAGATTCCACAATATGAATAAAATAAACATAATTGTCCAGTTTTCTTTAATACCATCCTGGGAGAATATTATTTTTAAATTTATTAAAGATATTTTCAATAGAATTGTCTTGATTTATTACTCGTACCCACTTTTCTTGCTCTTCCGGATACTTTAAGCTGCCTAGTATAACTATCCTTTCCACCAGGAACACAACAAAGATGAAGCACAGCACCAAAAACACACTCCACTTAAGCTTTATTGATGAATTGTTAGAGTCTTAAAAAACACACACAAAATCACGATAAATACAAAATTTATGGGCACTTTTAGGTTAAAGCACTTAACAAAACGTGTAATGTTTCGTGTTTTTTATGAGAAACAGAGTGACCATCATAGTGACCATATATCTGGTAGTACTTTATGTCACTTAAACACCAAAATAATGAGTTTTTGCACTACAATAACAAATAATACCAAAAATCAACCGACAAAATATGAATACAGAATCTAACCCCATATCTAAGTATGTACAGCTGATGAAGTAAACAAAAGTCCGCCCGTAGGCTGATCTTTTATAGAGGGCATTGTCTCTGGTAACATTTTTAATGTTTCATTTCTGTAGGCGTATTTAAGTATTTAAAACATGTTTAACCAAACCAAATATTGTACTGAAGTTTTTTTGTTTTGGTTTTTTTAATTTTGTGTTGCAATAATAAAAATTATGGTAATGGTGTGGATCCGGTGGCTGACCTTGAAACGAGTTTTTGCTGCATATAGTCACAGACACTACGCATGTGCACATCTTCGATGTTGCCAGATTGCAAGTTATTTTGGAATTATTTTCAGTAGAAAACAAATATGTGCTTTTCAGTGTTTTTTTATCAACATACACCGTATGATCGAAAAAACGGCGTCCAGTTGGCTGGGAAATGACGATTGAGGATATTTCCCATTTAAAATGATAACGATCTTCATTTCATAGTCATCGCTGACGTTATTTTTTTTCAATCATAGTACGCGGTATATTATTTATATTATTTTAATATTTCGCACAACACGTGAACGCTTATTATGTATTTTCATAGTCAATAAAATTAAATAGAAATAAAACTCTAGATTCTCATAATTAATCTAATTGCTCTAGATTATTATGCTTCGTTTAAAAAGTGTTTTATTAAAAATTCGGGAAATTAAAAGGGACGTGTCCAAGTTTTTTCTTTTTTTTAAATTTTTATATGCTGTAGCTCCATGTCATGTTCATAATAAGTTTTTGTTAACATTCCATCAAAACTACGGAGGCCTTAAAAGGCCTTTTAGCCTCCGTAATTAAAATTGTAGAATCAGCTTCAGCAACATTAACAGTTACCTTGTTTAATTAATACCTTGTTTAATTCTGCTTATACATATATTGCATTAATTTTTCTGCTA